CGTGGCTTCTCCGGGGATTGATATCCCTCGTCTTCCCCTTTGATATCACCCTCGTGGCGGGCAGGCTGCCCCTGTACCACCCCCGCCGTCGCCCTTATTCATTCTGGTCGACACCCCCTTTGTACGGAAAAGACAGATCGAACCACCCTGTTTACACTGCGACGCGATGATTTGCCAAATTAATTAGTCTATCCTCGCCGCTTTCTCTCTCTCTCTCTCTCTCTCCATTCGACAGTTCTCGGTATTCTCCTTTGGACCAGGAGACTGCGCATCTTTGCCTGTGTGTTGAATGGCCTCGGCATGTAAAAACCGCGAATAATCTTCGCGGCGCAGAACCCGGCTTTCATTAACGGCTAGAAGGATGGGCTGCACGGTAATTTCTAACGAGGCTGCGAGCGAGCTCTCGCCGTGAGACGCGCGTCGCAAAAACCTTTCTTCTGCGTCTTCCGACCGTGGTGGTAGGCGTGATACCAAAACGGGATCGTTAACATAAAAATAGGGTGACCTGATAAAAGAAGTGAAAACGCGCGCGGCGACGGGTATTTGCATTGCCGATAGTTGCAAAGTTGTTTTTCTAATTCATCTGATGATTAAAAAAAATCTCATGATTAAAAATACTCGGTGCGTTATTAATGCCGTGATGCATATATTTTACATAATCACTATTTTTTCAATCTAAAAAAATTCTCGAACGTCATGTTGCGTGACATTTCAAATGCGAATCATCCGCCCACGTCGTAGAGCGACATTATTGTTGTTCTCGAAGCTTGCGGATGTAACTCGGTGTTGATGTAACTTTTCGTCAGTATTGAGAGAAGAATTATCGAAAAAAATAATTGCGCATTGCAGGGTGGAACTTGATAAGATGCTGCGCGCGTCTCGAGACGTTTAACGAAAAGTTGTATTGCAACAAACGCGAACGACAAGCAGATTTTAGAGATCCCCTTTGAAAGGCTGGCGCGAAACGGCGCTGGAACGTGATGCAAGATAGGAGCCGGGAACGCTCGTAAAATGTCGAAGAGTTTCTTTTTCGCGGTGCCTCGTCGCTCCGGGCGTCGAGAGTAGGGGCGGTGCCGGCGAAATGAAATTAAACGGGTCCTTTTTTCGTCGTCGGAGCATCTCGTTCGCGGTAAAAACGAGTGTGGACATCCGGCACTAACCCCATGGTGACAGTGGTAGTGCCGTTACCGTTTGCCGCACGTAGGATCCGAGGGGCGGACGAAAAGCGGTCAGTGTTCCTCGTTAATGTTCGGCGCGGTTTCAACACAACGCTCTGTCCACTACACCGCGCGCCGTTTAATGCCACCGAAGAGTGGCTCGTTACGCTTGTATTTACTACCGACGATATTTATTTAGAAATATTTATTTTACAATAAATAGCATTCGGTGATTGCTACTCCGCGGCGCGCAATACGATCGTACGGACGGTCCGCGTCTTTTTTTCCCGACACCTCCGCGCTTTCTTATTATCATATTTTATAGTCTCGCGAAATACGACCGCATTGCCAACGATATTTTACCGCGTGGCGCGCCGCATACCACTGAATGTTTACTCGGAAGAAACCGAACGAAACGAAGATTCTTCTCGGTATCTAGAGTTCCGCGGATAGCTCGGGGTCATTATTTATCGTCCGCCCGATGAGGACAACTGCGACGACAATCAAGATACGGTAATGTACGTAGACAAATCGAGAATAGAATATAAGCGAGGAATCGCGGATGGAGGATGGCGTGAGTAATCAGACGGATAGATCGTCTTGTTTTCGTTCCGGAACGTAGCCTTCTCTCTTCCTTGTCCTTCCGTCCTCGCTTTCTTCTTGGTCTTTTAGGTGAACGCGAACGACAATCGATACCTGGCGAGGCTGAAGGCGGAGAGGCAGGCGAGAAAGAGAGCCGCACACGGCTGCGGGGTGAGAAAGCGAGAGGGCGGACAGACGGAAGAGGGGTGATAGGGTGGCGCCTCATATTTTGCTCATTAGCGTCAGCATCGTCGTCAGCGTCGGGACGCCCTCACTTCGCGCGCGCGGCGCAGCTAAGAGTGGAGAGGGACCATCCATCATCTTGTCCTCCGTTTCGCTCACGTCCCACTCTCCGCCGCCTTCGGCTCTTCGCTTCTCGCACCGGTCGTTTCCGATCTCTCGCGTTCGCCGTATCGACGATCCTTGAAAACACTCGCGACGATGACGCCGTTTTCGTTGAAACGAGTAGAGAGAGATATATATATCGCTTCAACGAGTAAACCATGGATCAAAAATTTGTATTTCTATCAATTCCTCTCCATTTCTCAATACTATAGACAGTAATATATTATTAAATTGCTAATATTTTAAATGTCCTCAAAATAGTATAATAATATATAATATTATATTTAAAGTTTCGATCAACTATTTCAAATTATATGAAGCAAAAGTAAGCGAATTTTTGTCAAAGTAGAATAATATGGTGTTTTCTACTTGACGCTACTTTCTAAAGAAATTATTCGTTACACTTGTATCTTCGCGCTTCCGTTTCGCAGTGAAATGGATCGTTGGTTACGTTGGCGAGGTGATTATGGAAATTTTCGTCAGTCGGCGCGAAACAAGCATCGAAACGCCGATTCTTCCGATTCGCACGATGGATTCATCGGTTGTTCCTACTATGAAATCATCGCTAATGCTCGTATACATCGGCGGTTTAATGGTGCGGTAGTTTCTTTTCTCGAGTCACATAGCGAGCGATGTACAACGCGCGCGATTGCGGTTTGCGGCAGCTACCTACTTTCGCATGAAATCCGTTTTTAGCGACAGATCGTAAAGCGATTTATGTGTACGACCGGCTGTAACGCTGATAGTAAACGGTAAACGCACGCGGCACTCGGCTCAACCCCCGGCCCGAACCCGGCGCGGTTAGTTGGCACGTAAAGGACTTTATTACCCGTACCACCTCGCGTGCCACCTAGTTACGCTTCAATAGAAAAATCATAAATAGTCTTTTTTATTCCGACGACTCTCTACCCTCGACACACGATTCGACGTGCTCAATCCAAGAAATGCCTGCCGACTTTAATAGACATTTTTCTGAATCGTCCATTATCGGGCTAATTAAATGTTTATTTCACAATTGAGACGCGACAGATTAAGATGTCAGAATATAAATCGGTGTATCTATGAGATGAATATTATTCAGTACATTATAGCTGTAGTATAGAGTATATGTACTTTGCTTAATGACACGTGGATGTCTTTTTAATAGTGTGTAGTTATTTAAATACCAGTCATTTTACGCTCATAAAAAAGTTTCTGTAATCACTTGATGTCCAAGTGATTCATAAAATTTAATTTTTATTTTCTTGGGGAATGCAACACATGTCTGTTTACTTAAAACCATATGCATAACGTACGTATTATCCGCTAAGAGGTGCCCATTTCAAGGCACACGCTGCAAATTATAAGTATGAAGACGTAATTAATAAATGCAATATAAATTGGCCTGTACGATACGTGTTTAGGATTCTTGTAATTGTCGTTCTCGGCATAACCCGCATCGCGCGTCTTTGCAGATAAACATAATTTAATGATGATTGATCGGTGAGTAGTTATCAACAATTACAGATGTTTGGCAAACGAGTTTTAAACATGGCTATCATGAAGAAGCCGTAATTGCAGCAACGAAGAAACATGCATACCTGGATATAGAATGTATTTATGTCACGCATCGATAGAAGCGTTTTGCTGCGTAAATACGCGCCTGAAGAGCTAGCAACTATTTCTTATCGCGTCTTTGCGACGTTGCGACTCGCCAACTTCGTCATAAATGCAGCCAGCAGTCAATGCCGCAGCCCACGCACAACGCGATTCGCGTGGGATAATGTACCTCGTAAAACAGGTTGTTGCGTAAGAGAAATCCTAAGCATTCAAGCTGGCCGAGCAACGCTTGAACAAATGACAACGCACAGATTTGAGATACAGTCAAACTTCTGTACTTTTTCTAATTCTTCCTCTTTGTTTCACTCCTACTTTTAAATATCAAATACATAATTGTACTCAGATTGGGTATTGCAGTTTGTTTTGCTTGCTGCAAATTCCATCGCAAACTACTCTATGTATATATCAGTTTCATCGAAAAATCAATGATCACCAAAAACTCGAATTTATTAATACGTAATTGGTTACGTACGAACGACAAAGCAAAAGTAAACTACTTTACTTTAAAAATCACATGTTCATGCTACGCACGTGTTTTTCTTTATAAAAGTCTACATAGATGTATAAAAATTTATATATAGAAACACGAAAAACGGAAAAACCATATCAAATTTTAAATTAGCGCGTATATTTTATTTGAATAATCGTAACGTAAATATGCATGGAATGTTCTAAAATTTTGCGGAGTGATACGATACTATGTAAATATTATAACACACACTCATCACGCACTATACATATACCAAGCTTCAAAAAATTTTTTTTGCAGAAGAAATATTTCTCTTCGATTTTAAACTTTATATTACTTTTTGTATTTTCCAAATCCTTTCTAAGAGTGTGCATTTTTTCTAAAAGTAAATATACCTTATTTTTGATAAAATATTCTTGGCAAACGTGTCACTTACATATACATATAAACTTGAAATATTATTTTCAAATTTATTATTGTACATATTTAACACAATTATATCTATATATATATGAATATTCCTCTCTTTTGCGTATTTGATAAACAAATTTTTATACATTTATTGAAATTTTTATAAAGAATGTCAAAATATGTCAAAATATTACCACTTAACTTATTAAAAAAAAATATAGAAAATGTTTGATTGTCATTGCAATGTTCCAATCGTTTGTAATATGTGCATCTCAATAATTTTATTAATCTTGACACTAAATATTAATATATAAATTGCACATTTACTTGAAACTTGCAAATTGCAGACAAAGATGTCAAGTGTGTTCTTCAATCGTATAAATAAATATTGGCAAATAAAGCGGATGTAACTATGCAAATATAATGAATTCACTCACCGGTCGTTGTATTCTTATTAAGTACGTCTTTTCAGCTCTATCTGAAGAAATTAATACATATTTTAGTTATTATAAATTATTATACATTTTATGTATATAAATTCTTATGCACTATTTCATTATTTTTATTATGATTGAAACATAACTATATGTAAAAAATTGCGCTAAAAATTATTAACTATCGCGCTTAAAAATTTTAATATTTAATATTTATTATTTTAATAAATATAAACTATATATTTATAAATATAATTATACACATGTGTATAGTAGTCACAAAATTATGTAAATATTTAAATAATGAACAAATAATTGTACTCACCAACTAGGTTATCGCAGCTTACTTCACCTGTCGTAGATTCCGTCTCAGATTGTCGTATCAACTCTATCGAAGAATCCGAGGAATCTCCATCCATGAGTACTGGAAATAAATTCGCATTTAATTACCAAATAGTATATTACCAAATAAAAATCAATCTGCACGTTTTACTTTTGAAAATTGACGGATTTATGTCGCGAATTTGCTGCAGTACATGAAACGCATTTTGTGCCGCAACGCATATATGCATATAATTGTAGCTCATTATTACACACTCGGCAGCTAATTCAATACCATACAAAGCATTCAGAGCGAGCAAGACGAATGATAACTATTAGTGCAATTACAGAGGACATGCAATAAAAATATGTTTCATCCGAGTTGAAATTTCAAAGTGCTATATTTAATGACGCTATTTTGATGCCCTTGAACGTAAGGTTTATTTTCGCGTATATATAAAATCAAGTCTTGTACCTACTTATCGTAGAATTGTTGTTTCAATAACCAAAATAGTGATCCGTAATTGATGTTAATCACGAACATTCGATGTCAATGATATGTTATACTCACCAGTACGTGTAACGTACTATAATGCCCTGTTACTTTAGTCGGTACTCTCGGAAAATTTGCACAAAAATTCGTACTCATTGTGTATTTTTAATGATTAATATCTTTAATGCGTAATTTCGTCGTCCGTGTCTTTCGATGTAATCCAATGGCGGCCATAAAGCAGCGTGTATGTACAGTTTAATTAGCAAAGTTGTCAAAATTTCAATGGTCGCATTCAGCGGACTAAGCAGTTGGGCAAAATTACTAGATTCTTCGCTGAATGACGCTGTTGATTTGTTGGCTCTAAAAGTAAGAGCCAATCATGTTTGATGGCTACTGAGCGATTTGTTCCGTTGAATGCGTCCAATGATAAAATAGATCCTTATATAAATTCGACGCTACGCGCGCCACTGTCGGTTCAGAACACAAAATGCAAATGTTTCACAATTCATTGCGTATTCCGTGCTTTAAAAAAATGAATGTTAAGTGCAAATTGTCGTAGAAAGTATTGGTTAAAGTAACGCGAATAATTGCTGAAACGGATTATTATTTATCGCGAATTTTCACTATTAACGGCTATTATTATCTGTCCATTATTTTCATAAATATATACACAATTATGATAACGCACACATACATAATTATAATGTATTGCTTTTCTATGAATATACATGTGGTGGTCCGAACATGAAGAAATGAGAAAATAACACAAACACTTCATCTCTTTCGACGATCTGTCCAATGCATTGAGAAGCACATTTTAATATTATTAAATGAAACGTATTATTTATTGTAAATTGTTATCAATGGTTTGATAGCCTGAATGGATTGAAATAGGTTATAATATCGGTGAATATAAATTTTGATGGCATAAAGATGTACAATAATTCCTATGTTTGTTTAAAAGAATCAGAGTGATTTACTTTTCATTATATAACATATTGAAATTTCGAGTTGGAATTATACAATTGAGTGTAGTTGTTATACATATCCGTGCCTGTTGATCTTCATGTCACCGCCAAAATAGTCCTTGTTCTTCTCGTTTCTTCAAAGTGTATTTACTGCGCCGTGCAATAATATTCACACAATTATATGTGCAGACGCGACGGCGATGTTGCGGCGTAATACGTCTTATTTCACGTCATCTTTCATGTACCGATATGTAGATATCGCACGTAAATCTGTTTCGCGTAAATAAAAATTGCGCGGGGATTAACCCTTGTTTGTTATTATATATAATTACGTATATAATAATAAGCACAGATTTTAAATGTTAAAAAAATCTTCAGAGTGGTTTAAAATGGAATCTACGTCTCCCAGCGAGTAAATTGCAATATTTAGCTGGTAAGTGCAATTATTTGTTTATTATTTAAATATCTACATAATTATGACTACATATATGGATAGTTTTATAATTTATGTTTATAAAATATTTGTTTAGATATTTATTTAAAATTTTAAAATAATTTTATTTAGATCATTCATTACAAGTAGTTACATTTTAACAAGAAATAATTAAATAATACTACATTAATAATCAACAAATATAAAATATATGATTTATAATTTATAATTCGATTATATATATGTGTAAGAATTATATATATGTGTAAGAAGAAAATTTTATAAAAGCATAAATTTATAATTAAATTTGAGATATAATTTTAGGGATATTAATTTTAAAAGTATAATATTCAATGTAATTTTAATTTGTTTGATTTTATTAATAAGTTTAATTGCCTAATATTTTTAGAAACAAACAAATTGTCAAAGTACAGTTTTAGATGCGTAATTAGTGTTCAGAGAAAGTTATGATTATTGATACAATTACTTACATAGCAATTGATGTAATAAACTCGTTTTTATGACACGCGTTTCACGAAACCGTTCTTTTCTTTTGCTGTATATCGAAAAAGTTGAAAACTTTTAATATGTAATACGTTCCACATTCTTCACATTGTCTAAAAAAGTAACATTAGTATATTATATCTTTTCAATTTTTATAAATTATAGTAGCAATTATATGTCTCTTTTTATTTGAGTAACATATTTGATTCAAAATATTGATTGAAAAATTTAACATATTTAATTTTATTTTGCTACAAAAATTGTTATATTAATGTCAGTCAAAAATAAGCTATACAAATAAAAATCTCTATTAAACAACTACAAAATAACAAGTGCAATGATGCATAATAATCATGGAATAACACATATGCGGCTTTTATTATTTGTTTGTCATTTAAATATGTATACAATACATAACTGTAATAATACCTTTACATAATTATAATTAGATTATTTATCAATTTTTCCATCTCGCAACGCGCTGCAATATTAAGTATTAAGTATATGAAGTATTAACCTTACAACTGTAAAATGTAATATACTGCTGTAACAAAAATCATAAATTCTTTTCTGGTACATTTTTATAAAATATATTTAGTTTATTGCAATTATTTTTTTATTTAAGTTAATATTTTTTATATATTTTAAGAATTATAAATCCATTAATTATTTGAAAAACTTTCCCTTCTACTCTCATAGTATAAATAAATTAAAAATAAATGTGCTATTAGATTTATTCTTATATTTTATATGAATATTTACATGAATGTGTGATATGTTTTGAAAATTTTATATTTTACATTGAAAACTAATTTTTATCAATGTGTGCCAACAACTTTCGATTTTTCGGTATAGAATATTCGATTTCGCTTCTTGCTAAAAAACAGATCAAAGTTCTTGATTCGATTGTATTGCATGTGCGATACAACGTATACACAAATAAAGACGATCGTGTGTCTGTGCATGCGTAACGGAGCGTGTCTTGTGATTGAAGTAGACAGTCGCGTCGTTCCATCCGGTATTCTCGACTTTCGGTGTGCAGCAGCAGCTTTTTATACTTCTCTCCCCTTTACCTGTCCCCATCTCACGTCCGTCTCTCGTCGAACGGCCCGGAGAACAAAACATGGACCTGAATGTAAAGTCTGAAAAACCGCCGTGGTGAACAGGCTGATTTTGTTGAAACAGAAACAGCGAGAGTTGACTGATGTTTTTATAACGGCAAAATCGGACCGACTGTCGACTTTCTTGCATACAATGGCATAAAATCGGTTTTTTTTTTCATCTAGCTACTGGTCGATTTAAAGTTTACTTGTAGTCAAGCACTGTTTTAACTCGCGAAAAATTAGCATAAATTAAATCAATTTGCGTGAGGGAAAATTAATGATGTAATATTATCGTTCAGATCGCGCGCAACATCTAGTTTTAATTTCCAAGACCATAAGTGCTTGTATGAAATTTTATAACGTTGTAATAAAATTAAATTGTTATTCCTTAACGAGATGACGAAGAAAATCGATGTGACATCTGAGCTTTGGCAGATATCGAGCGACTCTATGAGAGAGAGAGAGAGAGAGAGCGAGCGTCGTAGTTTCTGGCGTTGCGCTCCGATTATCGTGCCGTCCGTTTGATCACACGCGAGATTCGGTGTAGATGCGAAACGAGACAAAAACGGCAAAGCGACAGGACGACGAAAGGTGGCGAGAGAAGAAGGGTGCGCTGCGAGGGAGACCGCCGGAGGATCTCTCTCGGAGCGTGCCCATCAGTGCGCGGAAAAACGAGCAGTGACAGAACGAGATGGAGTGACTAAAGGGGGGACGCGAATGCGTTGGAATGGGACATATACTCCTCACCTCCTCTCTCTCTCTCCTTGCCCCGCGTTACATGGAAGAGGGGGCGTATAGACACGGTGCCCATGGAAACGCGCAGGCGCCTTTCGCCGAAGACCCTCGGCCCTTCGACGAGTTCACGTCTCTCTCGTTCTCTTTGTTGTCCCTCTCTCGCACCATCGTGCACCCTTATTTTCCTTCGTTCTACCTCTCTTCCTCCCGCCCGCTCTCTCACCACCCATCAGTCCGCGTCTATCTGTCTTCGTTTTCATCGCGTCTCCCCGACCCCGTAACCACCCCCCGTGGCCGCCTTCTCTCCGTAATACGCACTAAACACTCCATAGGCCGCGTGTAGGCTTTACGGGGGGTGTACTCGCATGTTTACCCTTCGGGCGCAATACCGCCCAGGCGTTTCGGCGCCGATAACGCCTTAGACCTTATCTCGAAGAGAAAAACAACGCCACGACGTCGATCGGTGTACGCTCGATTTACGATCGAGGTCTGCTCGTCCGAATGTCCGAAAACTATCACTGCGTTTTCTATTTCGTCCCTTGCATGCATTCGTACGATTAGGAGAGCGATCAATGTTGATCTGCTGTAACTTCATAAATTCAAAGTATGTTTAGATGTTATTACTATTATTATTGCACTCTTAAATTGCAAATACCTATTGTTACGAAAAATAGATTATTAAGGTGGCATAACTTTGTAAACTTAAGAAGTTTGGAAACCAACAATTATTACTTTTTTTCGTTGTTTTTTAACATTATTCAAAAGTTGGTCACGTCAGGCTTATCGATTCGATCGCTCGATTCGTGGAAGAAACCGATCGTGTACGTGATGCAAGTTTTTCCATTGCTGCTTGCGTGATTATCATTG